CCTGCATGTGCCTTTTGATGAGAGGCCTTGCTTTGCTCAGTTAAATTCAGGTAATTGCATTAATAAAACATTTTAAAGAGCATTAACAAAGGAGAAGGAGGTGCCACTATTCTGAAGTAAAGGTTTCCATAATGAGCTGAGAATCAGTGTACAATAATGCTATGCTTCCACAGTCCCTCATATATTTTGGGTTCTGATTACACCCTGAAGAACCCTGCTAGAGCTGTGTCCCTACTGTGCAAAGCACTGTTCAAGACATAAAGTCAGCAAGATACAAAAACCTTCACTGAAGGATTACAGGTGATTTGTGGACAAAACAAAGCAATGAACTTAAGACATAGTGGCAGGGAACAGGGAAAAGAAAAATAAAGTAGAACTTTAGCAATGAAATCCTGGCTTTTTTCAAGTCAGCAAAAACTTTGCCCTGGAAGGAAAAATTTCACCTTTCCTGCTTTTTTTGTTGTTGTCTTGTTTTGTTTTGGTTTTTTTTTCAGTGTGGAGGAAAAGGGCAAGGGCAAGGGCAAGAGTTTGTTTTCCCACCTCTCCACACTTGTGCTGATGCAAGGGACAAATCCTTGGGCTTCACCTAGGGACTTTTTCAGTGAGGATAGGTCTGGGAGGAGCGAAGGTGGAAGGGGAGAGGACAAGGAAGTGGAGAAGTCACTGGGAAGGGCAGGCAAATCAAGGCAGCAGCATAGGATAGGCAATGGCAGAGCCAATGGCCAGAAGAAATTGCAGCTCTGTTCTTGGCAGAAAGGAAGACAGCCACTGAAGAGCACCCAAAAAATATCCAAAGTATTTTCCAAGCTCAAGTTCACAATTGCAGGTTGAAGCTGCCCTTCTCACTTGAACATCATCAGGAAGGCCAAAATCTCTGGTGTTCCCACGCAAAGGATAACTCACCCAACATTCTGCCAGGCTAACACAGATATTTTAGTGTCTGTGCTTGGGAAATTCCTGCCACTGCCTTGGAGGAGGATGGCACCATGCCCACCCTCCTGCAGGGACAGGGAGCAGTCCCTGCCTGTCAGTCTAAAACAGAGAGAATATTTCAAGATGTCAGCTTGACAATCTCTTGTGAACTGACCATTTATCTTGAAGCAGTGGCATTTTGCTACATATCCAGAGGTCTTCAGGAGGTTATCCTAAATGTGCCTCTGCTGGGTGATGAGAGACCCAGAAAGTTCAGAGCTGATAATGGACTTTCCAAACTAACAACCCAATCTTCTTCCAGTGACTCCTCACTGTGGCTACAAATACACTGTAACCACGCCATAATTCCATTTCTCAAAGGTGTGTGCTTTTCTGCCAGTAAGCCATACAAGAGAGCAAAAACTAATCAGCACTTAGGGACACTGTTGCCTCAGTGACATTTGCAGGAGCTCTCCATCAGCTGCCAATGAACATCCGTCACGCTGGCAGAACACTGTCTGCTTAACTTTACATCAGCTGCTGGCTGGGGACATTCATTTCAAACACAGCCCTGTGTACTTACAATAACCAAGCCCAATCTGCATTTGCTTGTTTGCTGTCTCTGAGAAGAAAGTGGGGGCTTAACAGCCTCCCTGAGACATCTCTGTTCCTACAGGCCAGCACAGAGCACTCGGGACTCAGACCTTAACCTCCAGGACTGAAATCAAAGCAAGGAGGATGTGTGATGTGAGAGAAAAAGCAGTTGCCAAGTGACCCCAAGAGTCCCTGCCAGATCCCTCTGGAGAAAACAGCCTGGGATTTCCAGCTTCCTTCACACCTTCCCTGCAGCCACCACAGCTGCCTTCACCCCTGCTCTGAGAGCAGCCAGTGGGGACCAGAGATGCCACATTCCAGTCCAACAAAGAGAAAAGCAGAAAACAAGATGGGAAAGAGAGAGACGGATCCCAGTAAAACCCACCAGAGCTGCCCTCTCTCCTGCTCCACAGGTATCAGAATCCTGACCACCAGGCATCAAGCTGTATTTTAATCTGCACATTTGAACCAGATCATGGTTAGCATTAGAGTGTTTTGCTGGCCTTTTCTGCAGGGGTTTCCAGGTGGAACCCCAGCCTCAGCCAAAACTGGGGGTAAATCCCACTGAAACAAGGGAATGAGGCAGGCTCTGTATGGGCAGCTGGGGCCCCAAACCCACCAACATCTCCCAGGACCCAGAAGAGATGAAGATGCTATGAAGATGCTGCCTGGGGTTACTAAGCCATCTGTCAAAGACACAAGATTTTACAAAAGGATACACGAAAAACTCTCAATGGGCTTGAATTTATAATTAAACTTCAGTTCAGCATTTCAGTTGTACATGTTAATGATTGAGGGGCACAAGCATAAATATTTGGACAGCTTTCTAAGCTCCATGGCTTGTTGGCATGTTTGTATTTTGTGCTTATGACTGTTATGACTCAAAAAATCAGATGTACAAGATCTGTTCACTAGAAGAAAGCTAAATAGTCAAGAAATGGGCCTTTGTAACTACTCCTCTACCCTGACAGCATCGCAGTTACTGCCAGTGGTAAGAAAAAAGACTGAATCACATTTGGATTTCTCACTCCAACCTGAGGAAAAAAAAAAATAAATCTAGAAACAATATAGGAAAATTCAGCCAACTGCAAACCTCTCAGAGATATTGATAACCTAGAAAAAAATTCTGAGAGAAAAAAATTAATCCAAATTTGTGAAAGATCAGGCAGCTGAAATTTCTACAAGATGAGTCAGTCCTGGCACACACACACACAGACACACACTTGCAGAAGATTTGTAAATAGAGGCTAATTTCAGCTGAAACTCAGCAGTGACAAGCACTTCTATAGATGACGATTTGGAATCTACATACCAGCAAAAGTAAATCAAGTGGGTGAAAGGGTTCTGAGACCACATAAAACAGTGCCTCTGTTTGCACTGAAAGCAGCCTGCGTTGGAGTTAGAACAGCCTCTCGTCTTTGACTTCAGTGTGTGTGCAATGGATGTGAGAAAGTTTGCAGACATTATAAATTCAACAGGATGAGGGAAGAGCAGAGCTCAGAGCCTGTAAAACCTATGAACTGCTCAAGATTTCATCTGCAGAGAGAGCAGGTATAATCTTTATTCTGTTGAAATAAACAACAAAATGCTTGGATGCCTCATAAAGTCAAGACTTCAGCGCAGCAGCTTCCTGAATCTCGAAGTTCTGTCTTTTCTATAGAATTTATAGAGTCATAGTTCACAGGTGCTTCTTTTTTCCCCACAAAACAGTGATCTTCCATTGTCTGACTCTCCTACAGTACTTTGAGGAAAAAAGCAATCTGCTGTTTATTCTAGGTAAACACAGAGATTTCCAAAACATTGGTTTCTGCCCTATCCCACAACATATTGAGCTTTCAGCAAAACACAGGTCCAGGTCAAAAGTTTGACTGTCAGCTAAATTAAGTGTGAAGGATCTCACATTAGTTCTGGACAGAAGGTTACTGTGTGTCAGAGTGGCGTGACACTGTCTACTTTGTGCTTCTCAGAGGGGGCTGGAACTTTGCTTTCCACACAACACCCCAAGTATTTGAATACAGCAAGCAATGAACCAGATGGCTCCTAACTCTCTCCAACAGCTTTTCTCTCCTGTATTCTGTTTCCCTAGAGTTTAAGCTTTTATCAGGATGAAATTATTTCTATCGGGAAAAGAGATCACTACTTCACACACAAGAGATACTTTAATGACAAGATCTATCTCTCCCACTGAAATCTCTTCAGAGTCCTTACAAATTTCTGCTTCCTAAAAGAGACCTTATACCTCTCACATGAAAACCTGATCACCTAGGTGGGATATCTCACCACCTGAAAACACAGCAGTCAAAATGGGACCACTGAAATGTGATCATGGGATGAACTTGGGCCAGGCCTTCCCAGGGCAAGAAGAAAGCGTTATCTGAGCAGGTCACACAATCAGCATCTTCACATCCCTCAGGGAAGCAGAGCAGGTTGATCAGGGTGGCCCTCAAGGAGATGCTCCTCATACATTTGCTTTATCTTGTGCTTGTGACATTAAACTCTCTTGCCCAGACTCAGTGCCTGCAGTTCCAGATGGACAGAGAAAGATAAACATACACCACACAACATAGAAGAAAGGAACTACTGACTGCTACCTTCCCTGAAAATGACCATTTCTGTGAAAAAGGGAACTGCCATCTGTGAGAACTGGTGAAGTACTCAGACCTATATGAAATTATTTTCCTTGCAGGAAAGACAATTAACTGGCCAAGTGTATAATAAGATCTGGCACTCAGCCATGAAGAGTTACAGGCTGTTGTTAATTATGGAGGTTCAACTCTTAAAGCCATGTGACCTGGAAGAACAAACGTGTGTACCTACAGCTTTTACAGCCCCTGTTCTTCACTGTGAAATGCTGTTAGCCATAGCAGAATTGAAAGCTCGTGATCAACTCTTTAGAATGAGAATTGTAGGTTGGGTAGTGGTTTTGGGAAACACTGACTTGTTTTTAGGATATATGTCAGGATTTCTTTACGACATTCCTTACAATAACTCAACCATTAAATGAAACCCCACTCTTCTCATTGCTTGAGATGTTCATCTGCCTAGGATTTCATCTTCTCCATTCTAGACAGCCTTATCACAGTTAAAACGAAAAAATTAGAGTTTACCATCTACTTATTTGCATGCTCATACAGTTATAAGTAACAACTCTCAGCACCGTGCCATCAATTTTTTTGCTATCCAAATTGCAAAAGGGGTGCTTAAAAAGCACTCAGTACTGGTTTACACACCCTTGGTAGTCCAGCAAGATCCATGCTATGAGCAAAGGAGGCAGATGCAGAGGACAATTCCCACAGGGAGCTTTTGACTGACCACTGGCCCTCAGGGGTGCACATAAGGGGGAGGTGACATGAGCCAGACGTGCATCACAGCTAAAAATGACTTCAGCATTCATCTGTGGCAGTAAGCAAATACTGAGTGCCTTTGAGAGCTCCCAACAAAAATACAATTCCTAAAGCATACTAATATGAAACACTGAAGAAAGGGTTCCATACCTTAAATTCCTCCAAGATTTTGTAATTTTTCCCATGATATTCACAAAAGTTTTTCACTTCTTTGCATTCTGGACAGCATCCATTGTGTTCCACTTTTGTGCACTTTGGGTGGATTTTAGGGCATTCTGGTTGATCACAAACAGGTCCATCCTCAGTACAGACACAGGGACAGTTGGAATGTCCTGGGAAAAAACGTTCTCCCAATTTGTACACAAAGCCACTGTCATCCACACAGCCCTTCCCCCGGTAATCATCAAAGATCAGATTGTCATTACTGGAGGTCTGGTCCCCTTCATCAGCGGGGTAGTCTTCATGATTGATGGCAGCTGGAGTGACCAAACCAGGCAGCACAAACAGAAGTATCCAGGCTTCATGGATATGAAGAGCCATCCCCCTCCTCAGCTTCTCCATGGGACCTCAAAGCCAGATACAAACAGCTGCTTCCATAGGGAGACCAGTGTGGTCTGAAAACAAACAGTTTCAAGTGAGAAAAAACTCAAAATTCAAGGAATATTGACTTATAAAACTCATTGTTTCAACCAGTACCGAAGAATAAAGCAAAGTTTTTTACTATCACTGTTTCATTTGAATTAAACCTTTTCTTAGTCATTGGCAAAGAGAACAAAGCATGTGAAATACCTAAAATTAGACACACATGCCTGGAAGCATATGACCATAAAACACCTCTGAAGGAATGGTGGTTCACAGAATCATCTAATTTTTACTTTCCTCATTTTTGCAGTTGAGTTTTTGGATGCACCAGAAATTAAACCAGCTGCCTGAAATCGCATGGTGGGCAGCTCGGAGGGTTTTGAAGCCAAGTTTAAGAATGGTCTAAACCTCCTGTGGGGGCCACTGTCCCTTGGTGCTACGTTTGGAGCACAGCCCACTTCATTAAACCCAGGTGGGAAACCTGAGCTGAAAAGGGAGTCAAACATAATCTGTGGTCAGATCTGTGTCTGATCTGAAAGATGGTGCTGGGTTAAACTTGGGCTGTGAGAGGTGGAATATTACAGAATGTTATTTACAGCATTTCTGAAGAGGGACTTTCTGGGCTACCAACACAGCCCAGTCTGCAGTCTGTACGTTTAACCCTGCCAGAGGCAAAGACGCAATTCACCTTCTCCATTATTCAGCATTTCAGTAATTCCCAGCAAAAACCGCGGAGTGCAGGGCGTTAAATGCCTGCATAATGCATGGAGCCGCTGAAACGTGTCGGCCTGATTAAGCTGGAGCCTTTCTAAAACTTCGGGAGCGATGCAGCACGGCCCGACCTGCGGTGAGCTGCGCTCAAGTGCTGGAGTGAGCACGGAGTCCGGCAGGGAGAGGGGCTTTGAGTGACCCCCGGGAGAGTCGGCGACAGGAGAAGGTTCCATGCCGGTGTCTTGGGAACACATCTGGCTGCCCACAGTGCCACATCACTGCCACCAACCTGTCCACAAACCAGCCCGCAGCCAGTGCAACCCTGGCAGCAAACTGGTTTCTGATCCCTCTTAAAAAAGCTGGGCAAAGTATTACAGGAAACTTTTAACTGAGATGAAATATCAGCATTACATGGACTGCAGAACTACGGAGGCAGATGCTGGCACAAACCAAAACAAGAAGGACTGTTGGGGTGTGTGTGTCATCATCCCTTCTTTTCCTCCATTCCCAGAGCATGCACACACAGGCACACGGAGTCTACACAAACATGCATAAACCTACACACACGGGCAAACACGTACTCCCCCCATCCCTCGGGGTGACACTTTTATATACTGGCATTTTGGCGGACTGCAGATGTTCAGCAATTAATTCTCCCTTAATTGATACAAAAAAGGAGCAGCAGGAGGAGAAAGCTTTAATCCCAGAGAAGCAGCTAAAGGATCCTGTTGACCAAGCAGTTTTTCCGAAGCCACAACAGAGGGAGACACCGGATATTACACAAGATTTATCAAATTCGAAAAGATATCTTCTTAATTGAAGTACTGGCTGTGTTTCCATCGCAAGGACTATGCACCCTCTTGTTACTCCTATCAGCAATATCTACTGTAACATGCTGTTTGGAAATCCAGCGATTCATGCAGATACGACTGCTTTACATATCTACAGAGCAGAGAATCTCCCCACCTAACGCTACAGGTAGGTTGCAACACTGCAGATTTGTGGGCATTTAGGGGAAAAAAAAAAAAAAAGAGCAGCAAACAGAGTCATTCATATCTGAGGAAATGTGAAATGCTTGTGAGAATCTGCTGGAGTTTTGTGAGGAAGCTCTCAAAACAAATGCGTGTGTATACATATATGTATATAAAAGTTCTCCCCAGATATTTTGCTACAGCAGCTGAGATGTCCCACAGCAACTCACAGGCACTCGGCTCGATCCTGGAAATCAGACAGACTGCAGACGTCTTGCACGGACACATTTCAACAAGTAAACAAATGCTGCTTGGCTCAGAATTAGTTTACAGCTTGAACTTTCTCATCATTTCTCACCCTGAGAGAGGCCAAGATCGTAGGTAAATCTCTGAAACGTTTCCACCCGCCTTCCCTCACCCCAAGTAAATAATTAACACCTACCTGATCAGGCTGGATGTGAAAGCTGAGAGGGGTCACAGGCCAACATGGACTGAAAGGTTAGAAACAGATTAGTGAAAGCAGTTCATCCTAATCACGTTTTCGGCGTTGACTCACGGACAATCCCTTTTCCTCCACCTCCCATCGCAAAACGGGAGCGCGGCAGCCCAGCAACCACAACATGAGAACTGAGCTTTAACCCGGCGCCGACGATTCAGAGGGAGCAGGATTCAGGCGGTCCGGAGGCTGCGATGCCGCGGAGAAACCCCGGTGCCAGCAGCAGAGTCATCGCGGCGAACTTGGGCTGCATCTCCTCAGGTCTCGGGGCGGGCGGGGGAGAGAAAACAACCCATCCCTGTCCCCTCCCTGTGCCCGGCGGATCTCCTGCGGCTCCAGCTTCGCCTCGGCGGGGGAAGGGGGGGAGCGATCGAGGGTTAGGCGGGAGGCAGGCGGGGGAGGGCGGGCGCAGGAGCCCCGCGCCCGGCGGGCGGGCAGCCCCCGCGCCCCTCCGGGGACTCCCCGGCCCGGGCGCCGGCCATGCCCGCGCCGCGCAGCTCCGCGCTCCCTGCCTGCCCTTATTAGGATTGATTTTGGTATTTTGGTTTTAGGGGGATGGTGGTTAAAAAAAAAAAAAAAAAAAAAAAAAAAAAAAGAAGAAGAAGAAGAGAGAAGGGCCGGGGGGGCAAAACCCAAAAAATAATACAGGGGCGGGGCGCCCCCGCCCCGGCCGCTGCTCCGCCTGCCGCCGGCTGGGGCGACGGCTCTGCTCAGAACTGCCGGTCCCCCTCAGATCCACCGGCTCCGGTCAGATCCACCGGCTAGAGCTCTCGTCAGGCCGGCTCTCTTCGATGCACCGGCTGCAGCTCCCTTCAGCTCGGTTCCCCTCAGATGCACCGGCTGCAGCTCCCTTCAGCCCGGTTCCCCTCAGATCCACAGTCTGCAGCTCCATTCAGCCCGGTTCCCCTTAGACGCACCGGCTGGAGCTCTCTTCAGCCCGGTTCCCCTCAGCCCAGCCCCTCGGCCCCGCTGCCCCCTCAGATGCACCGGCTGGGGCTCCCCTCAGCCCGGCTGCCCTCGTATCCTCGGGCTGGGGGTTCTCTCAGCCCCTCCGCGCTCTCCAGCTCCGGCTCATCGCCGCTGCCCCGGCGGTGTCCGGGAAAACATCCCCCATGGCCGCATTGTGAAAACTTCGCCTCATCTTCCCACAGGCGGCTGCGCCGGGGAAGGGGCGCCCCGGCTCCTGTGGCTCGTGCTGCGCTACATTAAAAATCAATCTCCTTGCAATTCGGCTGCGCCGGCATTAGGCGTCATTGTAAAGCTGTTTCTCCAGAAGCCACCAAAAGAGAGATTCTTGGTGTTGGAGAAAACACGGTGACAGCAGGAAGAGGGAGAAATAGAGGGGTTTATTTGGATAAAATGCTAAATAATGCTCCGTTTGGGCGAACATGCCCCGAATAGCGCAAACACGAGCTGTGAAGCTATAAAGCCGCAGTGCTGTTGTCAGACCGCTCTCGTGGAAGGCGATGAGGGCCACGTGTGTCACGGTGCCCAGGTCCAGAGGCAAACCCTGCCATCGGCACCCGCGGACAGCAGGGAATCCTGGCTGTGGAAGCGCACGCAGCGCACCTCGACCCCGGGGCCACGCAGGACGGAGAGCTGGCCCACGGCCAGGGACAGCACCTTCACGGAGCCCTCGCTGCTGGCCACAGCCACCAGGTCACCTGAAACACACGGCAAAGGCATCATCGAGGTTGGCAAAGGATACACAAGAGAGCGGTGCGGGAAGTTTTGAGATGTTGGCTTTAAAGAGACTCGCGTGTACTCCTGTTTTCTGAGATAAATTAACAGAAAGTTGGACGGATCAATAACAATGAGATTGGATTTTGGAGTGATCAGGCCAGTCTGGAGACCTCATGTTCTCCTCACAAGGAGCCTGGCTACTTTGACAGAATCACAGAATCTGCTGTGTTGGAAGGGACGCACAAGGATCATGGAGTCCGACTCCTGATCCTGCATAGGACACCACAAGGGTCACAACATGTGCCCAAGGGTGTTGTCCAAACCTTTCTTGAACTCTGTCAAGTTCGGTGCTGTGACCATCCCTGGCACTGTTCCAGTGCCCAACCACCCTCTGGGGGAAGAACCTTTCCCTAATATCCAACCTAAAGCTCCTCTGACACAGCTTCAGGCCATTGCCACAGGTCCTGTCACTGGTCCCCACAGAGCAGAGATCAGTGTCTGCCCCTCACAAGGAAGTTACAAACCCTGGTGAGTCCCCCCTCAGTCTCCTCCAGCTGAACAGACCAAGTGCCCTAAGTCACTCCTCACACACCACTCAAGGCCCATCAACATCTTTGTTGCCCTTTGGATGCTCTCTGATAGCTTGATAATTTTTTTTTTTTTAATGTTACAGTGACCAAAACTGCACACAATACTCAAGGTGGGGCTTCCCCAGTGCAGACCAGAGCAGGACAATCATATCCATTATATTTGAACACAATTATTCAGGGACAGATTTTGAAACACAGACTGAGCACCAGAGGAGTAGATTCTTCCCTAATACCTGGAGGTATCAACATCAGACCATGCTTTTGACACTGCTTTTCTTGTACCACTCTAAGACATGAGGATATGAGTTTTCAGCTGAATTTCCAGAAGGTCAGGCATCTAACTGTACTGAGTGCTTGCTCCCTTATATCCTTATGGAAAAAATTATATTTAAATCCTTAATATAGAACAGGGTTTAACAGTAGAAAAAATAAACTAAGACCTAAAAAAGCTTCTAAGGAGTTCTCAGTTTCCATGTGCTTTTTTGCAAATCGAATGGACTCAGTTTTCAACACTTTTAAGGAAGCAGAATGTGTTTATTATCTTCCTGCTTAAATAAAAGCCCAGGTAATAGCTGGTAAGTGATATGTTTGAAGCGCCTCTTACTTACCCAGCCTCCAGGTAAATATTCTATTCTCCTTTAGAAATTAACTATAATAATCATGAGTTTCACGTACCAAAAAAAAAAAAAAGTCAATACATTAATTTCAAATCTGATGTGGCCCTAAGAACAATGGGATCACTGTAGTGTCAATCGTGATCTTGGTCAAACACCTTTTTTTATTTAGAGCAAGTTCAATACACCCTCTGAGTGATTACAGCTTTTCTTATGTATTGAGATTTTCTCTCTGAAAGCAAAGACATCACCAGCAGAAGAATAATTGAAATTGACACTAACCAAGTCCATCTGGCACCAAGGTCATAATTTTTGGGAAGATTATGAAAAACAGGAGATATTTTTCTATTTTTAGTAACTCAGGTTATTCACCAAATAGCCAATGGGAACATACTGTCCAACAGATGTGAGCACGGAGGAATTCATCCCAGTTTTAACACTTTGGGGCCCTGGGTGTGCCTTTGGGATGTGCAGTTTATCCAGGGAATGTATCATTCCTCTGTTCAAACTAGGTCATAACAATGATGCTGTCTGTTCTGCTCATGACGATCTGATGGCTTCATTTTGCCATTTATCAAAAGAAACACGTAGCCTCAAACAGCTTACAAATGCACTGAGAATATTTAACCACAACTTATGCTTAGTGTGGTCATGGATATTTGTGCAAGAATGGGAACTAGCAAGTAGAGCTAACCATGATAAATATGCCCTATTTGCAAACCTTTACAACTACCCAGCTTCTTCATCTAGAACAAAGCCTGACACAGCAAAGATCTGTAGGATGGATTAGAGTGTCCAAAGCAGCAGATGTGAATATTTATTATAAACTCTCCTCCAGCAAGTCTTTGCTGACAGAAGCATTGCATATGGATTGCGCTTGCAGCGAGACTCTCCAGGCTGGATGACTTCTCCAGGAGCCAAACAAATGCCATTTTGCCTGCAGCCCTGACACCACAACAGCTGGGCAGGGGGGTAATGTCACTTCCAGCTTCTCAAAACCACTAATGAACCCACTTGTTACAGAGAGGGACAGGCAGGAAAAAAAGTCTGGACAGCTGCAGTCCACTTCCAGAAAGCAAGGGCAGGACAGAATGACAACTGAGAAAAAGCTTCGGCTCATCCACTCCCTGGGTTGAGCAGGTCAGGGGCAGGCCCCAACCCTGCATTTTTCTGCATGCTTTGCTAGGTAAGTCACATGCCTGAAGCAAAACCATAGCAGTCATCCTGTCAGACCATGCCAGTATTCTGACAGTCCTGGGAAATGACAAAGCCAAGAGGAAAGTAGAGAGGGTCAGTAAAACCAGCCAGCTAGGAGGTGCAGTAGCACCCCACACTGCCTCCATCACTAGCACTCACTGGGGAAAGGATGGAGGTGCACTTGGCAGGCCTGGTGAAGAATGATTCATTTCAGGAGTTTCCCCCTGGATGTGTTACTATCACTGACCATGACACAGCCACCTCCTGGCTCAGTAGCAGCAGGATGCACAGGCAGATGCATGCGAGGGGGAATGCACAAAATGACAACATCCCATTTCCCTCACCCTTAATGTCAACACTGATCTACGGGCTCATAACAATTTGCTCATTATAATGTAAATTTACTCCCTCCTTCCTTCCGAAAGGAGATGTTTCATTTTGGGAAGAGGGAACAAATTGTGTTTTATTGCTCTTTCAAAATTTTTTCCAATTAGGAAAGCAAACAAAAACTACTACATAATTGTGATGTAACACTGTATTTTAATGAAGAATACTTACTTGTCACTAACAAAAGCACTTTGATATAACACCGGAGGAAGATAAAAGCCTGAACAGGAGTTGTTCTTCATACCTTTGACCCAGCTGTCAGGTGGGGCTGGTCTATGCAAACTCACTGAACTGAGCAGTTAGGCTGATTTGCATTGAAATGAGTAGATTCTGCTTAGAAGATGCAAAGTCTCCAAGACTCTGACCTCTAGATCTCCAGCTCACAAGGCTTCCAGAACCTGCTCTGGATCTGTGGGTGAACTTGGCAACATGGGGAGATAAAGTGAAGCTTTGCTCTGGCTGGCCCCATGCCAATCCTGAGCTCAGCATTCTTCTTCAACCTGACAGACAAGGAGTGATGACAAAGGACATTGCCACCACAAGGAGACCCTACAGCAGCAGCCTTTGTACTAGTCACAGCTGATTTGCTGTTGCCCATTGCTAACACAAGTACTAATTTTTCTGATGTACCCCTATTATGTCCTTAGAATAACATAAGCTCTGACCATCTGGACACTTGCTTCAGGAGGGATGCAGTGAGTTGGAAAAGGTAAAGAAAGGTAGCAAAGCCAGTTAAAGGTACAAACAACTTCTGTGCAAGGAATCCTTGAGGGGATGACAGTTTAGCCAAGAAAAAACTCTGTGCATTAAATTGTACTTGGCTGATGGTGCTTACTCCACGTGTAAACCTCAGGCTTCAGTCCTTCCTTGGGGATCCACAGAGAAACATGGAGCCAAGCCAGACCCAGGTCACCCCCCAAGGGATGGTGAAACAC